CCAGAAAATCGATTGGCGCCCGCGAAAATTCAAAAATACAAAAATGAAGTATATTACCAAGTAACCCAGTGAGAACTGCTTGCCTATCATTTTAGTTGAAAATACAAGAAGTTTTATTCCAAGCAAGCATCGCAAGCCCGCTTGGTTAATTTCTGCTGCTTGCTTGGAATAAAATTTCTTGTATTTTATATTAAAATGATAGGCAAGCAATTCTGTTAAAAGCACTGGCACTGAACGTTTCGCTTCATGCAGTCTATTTTGCAATTTTTTTAAAATGATGTCAATCCCGAAAATCCCGGGATTAGGAAAACTTAATCCCGAAAATTTTGGGACTGAAAAGTGGTCGGGATCCCGGGATCCCGATTTTCGAGATCCTGGGATCAAATCCTCTAAATATGAGTCATGCATGCACACCTGTAGGGTAACCAGATCTTAGCAATTACAGTTCAGAGTCCATCAATGCCTGCCAAGCCATGTGGATATCTTTATACCTCTTAACAGAATTAGAATAAGTTGCTGCCACCACTGTGGATGCCAGTTGTACATAGGCCAAAAGTTCAAATTTCTAGACACACATTGTTACAGTTGTTATTCCCCATTTAAACTACATTTACTAAGAAGAAAAGAGAATTTGTGGGTGGAACTATCTCTTATTTGGGCAAGCTTTTCACTAACAATTGCAAGACTATTCAATTCATACAACCTAATGGTCCTGGTTACACCCAAGCCCATCCTCCAGAATACTCTAGCGTAGCAAAATTTTAACTTGTAAAAAGTCAGGTGATTATCAACTAACTCATAAAGATATACAGAACAACGTTACTACATACTATGGCTAGAACACTAGCATGCTGTCTGAAAGAACATCAGAAGGATATAAGACAAGGTAAACAGACTACTGAGCTATCGAAATTAGCTTTAACATCTAATTTTAATCCTGTCTGGGCCGATACACAGTTCCTCAAACAGAATAAAAATCAATGAGTACTTTATATGTGGAAATCTGTACTTATTAACTGCATACAGCTATGCAATCACCCAATTCTGGACATTCCAGAACATTGGTTATCCCTTTATAGAATGTTAGATTATCCTTAATAGTGTTGAGGATTAATGTAACACAGTTGTCTTAAAAATAAAATATTGCTCACAAATTTATTAATTCTTTATACCAATTTTATGGAAATCACTGTATCATTATTTTAATGTAATTTTTGGTACTCAACCAAATAATTGCCTTAATTAATCAGGCTGTAAATTTGCTATTATTAATGATAAGATATTAAGTAAAAGTAATTTGTATTAGAGGTAGATGTTAGACACCATCTCTTATTAAAAATTATAATTATTAATTTAGATAATTTATTAAATAATTTAGAACTGTCTGGAAAAAGAACTAGCCCAGAGTGGGACCCGCAACCTCCTCTTACTATGTAGTGTGCTTGCCAGTTATGTCACCTGGACTTCCAAGCAATTCTTCACTCCAGACATATTTAAACTTTAGATATAACCATATGCAATTATTCATGGGTATATCTAAAGTTTAAATACGTCTGGAAGCAAAGAATTGCTTCGAGTTCCAGGTGATGTAACTGGCAAGCACAGTCTACTTTATAAATAAAGTAGATTGAAAACATTAGAAGTTTAAATAAAAAGACTGCATCTTAAAGGGTTTCTGTTGTTTTATGTTACTTAACAAAAATGTTCCCTAACCTATTTGATTAAACATTTTTAAATTTTAACAAAATTAACAATAAAGAAAATCATATAAATAAGAATGAACTAGTAACTGTTGTCTCAGCCAAATTAATCAATGCATCTTTAACAATGGGTGCAGTTTAAAGAAAACTAATTGTTTTCAACCTGATTAACAGACCATCTTCAGGCATGGATAGTTGAAAATGAAATGCCAGTGTTGGTAATGAAGCTGGAATAGAGTAATCAAGGTGCATTCATAATAATTTTTAAGTGTATTATGCTTAAAAACAACTGAATGCTAATTACAAAATTTCATAACAATGCTTTTAAAATGTTTATTGTTCAAAAGTTGAATTTGCTAAGATATTTTTAATATACCTAATTTCTTAATTCATCTTTTAATATATCCCTACAAGATTTTTCCTTCTTGTGCAATTGAGAAAAACAACCAAAGTACATTTATTGCATACCTGATAAGCAAAAATTTGATTCTTCTTCTAGTACATCCTTGTGTATCAAGTCTTTTTCTTATTAGCTTTCATTTTCCATTTAGTTATAGGATATGGTATACTGAATTTCTTTGAATATATCCAAAGTATACCAATTTCATTTTCTTTATAACAGTTGTTAATTCTTTTCTTTTCTTCATTTTCCATAATACTTTTTTATTTGTAATCCTTTGCACTTAACTATTCTTAAATTCTTTGTACAGTACATCCACATTTTGAATATATCTGATCATTTTATTTTATATCTTTTATAACATTCAACTTTCAAACCAAATGACTGCCAGATTATATATTGGGGATTGTTTAACAATATGAATATATTGGATAGTTGTTTACTATGTGTAACTTTCAAACCATATAATAATGCATTTCATACATAGCATTTTAATATTCTTTCTCTAATCTGCAAATTTAGTTAATATTACATAAAACCCTTTCCATTTTCATAAATATATTCTTTACTAAAACAATTCTAGTTTTGCTCTCTACTGTATAATATAATATATATTTTTTGTTGAAACTATATCCTAAATATTTATAATTATTTACGTCTAATAGTTTATTAGTTACTTGTAATCTTATGTAAGGTCTTCATATTTCTCAATTACTACATACAGTGGAACCCCGGTTAATGAACTTAATCCGTTCCGCAACTCCGTTCGTTAACTGAATTGTTCGTTAACCGAAGCAATTTTTCCCATAGAAATTAATGCAAATGCAATTTATCCGTTCTAGTTTCCGAAATTTTTGTGATTTTATTTGTAATATACAGTAGATTTTCTTTCATGAAAATGTAGGAAAACATAGTATCTATCATTCTAGAAACAAACATGTAAACTTTGTTTAATAAAACAGTACTGTACTGTACATATCGTTTGTTGTAGTTGGTGGCAGAAAAGTGGAAATATACAGACCTTAATGCTTAGAAGGGAAATCCCTCCAAAAAAATAACAGGTAGCACTTCATCGGAAGATTCTTTGAGTCGAAGTCTCTTTCGATAAGAAAGCCCACCAGTGGCTAAACGGTCTTCATACCCTGAACACGGGTAGTTTGTTCGTGGGTTTGCACCTTGCTCAGACGGGCTGTCCATGTGGCGTTTTCCAGGTTTTCTCCATGTCTGTAACACCTAAATAGGGGCCAGTTTCCCTTAAAAACACCTCCCAGAAGGCATTTCCCCTAGGCAGATCACCCAAGTGTTGCGTTGCCATAACTTAACAAACAAACAAACTCTTTCGGTAAGGAACAAGAAATTGATCTAAAGTTGATTGTCTTACTCTTTTAATAAAAAATTTTCTCAAATGCAATAGTGCATTGTCGTTTTCTATTGCCACTATGACTTTTTTCTTTCTTGGATGCCATATTGATTAAATATATGAATCACAAAACTGAAAAAAGAAGTATAGCACAAACACTCGAAAAAGCAATGCTTAACTCACGCATGCCTAACACCAACTAAAATTTGACACAAAATACCGTTATGTTCCGAGACAAAATTTTTGAAAAATAAAAGTTCGTTAACCGATTTGGTCGTTAACCAGGACGTTCATTAACTGGGGTTCCACTGTATTTGTAAGTTTGAAAAGATTTAAGTGAAATCATTTTCCATATTATTAACAACTAAATGTTTTTGAGTAATATTAGTGTGATAAAGAAATATATAGGTGTGCTTTTGTTCAGCAAAATTTATATTAAGCCATTGTTGATTAGCTAAAGAATATAAAGATTTTAAAAAATTGTATTTATTTTCTCATATACAGTAATACCTCAACTTACGCTACTCCGACTTACGCGAACCCTTAGTTACGCAATTTTCATATCTCGTCGATCCGTCTTTTGTTTGAGCACCACGCAACTTTTGATTACTCGCTCCCCCCCGTACTATTGTTCGGCTTACATGTTCGGATGTGTCGCGCGGAATTGACACATAGCTACAATTTATTTTGTGTTATTTATTTCTGTGCTTGTTATATCTACGGAGACTCGAGAGACTCTATGTGGTAATTTCTTGCAACCGTGAACGAATCAAAAGACAAGATAAGATTAATGAGAACATTTATTAGCTTACATACATCCGACTTGGATTTTACACAAATTGCAAAATTATACCCTGACATATGTGAATTCGACTTACGCAGTTATCGCTCGGTCCCACCTATCGTGTATGTTCGGGGTATTACTGTATTTGATTGATCCTATTATAAGTTAAGTTCAATCAAATAAGAGTGATTAATATCTGCTCTAAGTTTTCAACTAAATTTATATAGATTTCCATTTATCAGTAATGAAATCTCCTTAATCAAATTGTAATATATAAATTTTTAAAGCTCTTTGAACTTCATTAAATGAAAATAAAACAGTTACGACTTTTTTAAAAATTTAGATTGATAATCTAGTACAATTATTTATGGATTATTTTTCTATAAAATTCAAAGAATTTATTTATATATCTAAAGTCTTAACTTCTTTTAAAAATATTTTTAATACATAATGCCAAACAGTAATTCAGAAAGATTTTATTTTATTTTAAAAATCCAATATAAAGTTCAATGATGGCGTGGAAGCAACAATAAATTATTAAATAAAAAAAAGGAAATATAATCAAAATGTTGGAAAAGAAATCTGTAAATCAAAGTTTTCACAAATACTTTATGCAATTCTCTTTTGAAATTAATTTTTTGTAGTATTATCTCATTAATAACTAAACTACAAAGATATAATATAAAAATTATAATCAATATCATCCATTACTCAATATTATAATAATGAACATATAATTTAAAATGTGTTAAAATTCATTATATCATGTAAAAATTTCTAAAAACAATTTTTTATTAGTTATTATTCTTTTTTGATATATTTGTGATTTATTATTTAATATAGTTTAAAATATATTTTTTTGCTTCCCTGTAGAATCTTCCTTTACTGTTTTAAAGTCTGAAATTGATCATCTTCAATTACTAGTAAAAGTTTTATGGGTGGGTCCAAATCTAGAAAACATTGTACATGATAGAACATCTGCAAATAAGCCAATATTATTTTATAATTGGAAGCCAAATACAGTTACATCTCTTGGTAATTTTACTAATGTTGCATTTCCCCACTGTGAAGATAAATTTTCATTACAAAGAGGAAAAACTTGTGAACATGATGTTAATCAATTGGAAAAGGTAAGTAACTATTGCTTTTGTAATAACTTTCACCATTAAAACTTATTCTTTGATTTAAATCTTAAAACTTATTTTGAAACATTGTACTGCTGACCAAAACTTTAAGTATTTAAATAGATTCACCATAAAAATTTATGGATATTGAATTTTATCTATATATCCTCTAGCTCTTAATGCATCATTTTATTATGTTGTTTATATTACTGATGCAATACTTTATGCAATATTGATGCAATTATGTTTAAATTAGGTCTGCTACTTTTTCATTCAGAAATTATTGTTGCTCATACAATAAATAAGACAGTGTCATTCCAGATTATATATTATTTATTAAAAACTATTGCCATATTTTTGTGCATGTAATCTTTGGGTTATCTGTGTTTAAAAAATTATTTGAAGAGGACATGGGTTGTGCAATGGGCCCGAAAGTATTGCAATTACAAATGTGCCTATGGAGCAGTTTCACTCCATATCCACAGGTTATTTGACGGGGTGGGTTATAACAATTTTCTGTGGGTTATAAGCCATTGCAAGTTTTATGTATGAATATATGGTATGAAGTATGAAGAATAAAGTATAAAAAAAATAATAATTGCTTTTTTGCTCCTTTTTCATATGAAACTTTTATAATTGTTCAGCAGATCATCCATGAATTTATTAAGCATGTTCAGAACTGATTGAAACTATACTTAATTATGGACATTTGGTAAACTTTATATTGAAAAGATGGAAGTGCAATTGCTCAATACTCTCCACTGTAGTCTTCATGAATTTTCAGTTATGATAATAATAACATGATTTCAATTTATGAAAGCATTCTTTAATAACTAGGAAAAAAATTTATAATGCAATAATAAATGCTAATGGAACTATCCAGATATAAACTGACAACTGTTTAAAATTTTTCTGAAAAAAATGTACACACAAAGCAGAGTAAGTTTCTTAAAAAGCAGATGAAAAGAAAAAAGAACAGAATAAGTGTGCAATAGCAGAAATTTAATTGCTAGAAAGAAAACCATATTAATAAAAACAATAAAAAAATATGAAAATGAAAATATTGATCAATATATTAATGAATAAAGAAAAAGTATAACTGATTTTCATTCAAATGTATTTTTTTAAGAGATTGTCCATAATCTATATAATGTTGTTTTTATAATTTTCAACTATCATCCCATCTCTTGTAATACTCCAAAACACTGTCACACATATCGTTGATCAACCCCTTTAATTTTGCTAAGCAATAATACACAGCTTGGGAATGAATGCTATATTATTTCATTAATTACATGTATAACATGAAAAGCAATGATAAAGCAATATGGTTCACTATCAAACTGAATCATTATGTTATCCAAGTGTGGAGTCCTAGCATTACGTAACATTTTCGTAAACATCCCTGCCTTTTGTAATGCATTGTAATGATTATCTGAATAACTACACTGCATTTTATAATTTAAGGACAGTCCTAAGAAGGTATGTCAATAATTATAAACATCAATATAGCTTTGTCATCTCTTGACTAATTTTTGTAATGCTCCAGCAATGCAATCTTTTGTGGTGAAACCAAACCCATTGACAGACCACAATCTTGACAGATTCACAGTCTGTAAACTTCTGTCTGTGCAGAGTCTCTTTCATATTTTCAAAGAGTACATAGTCTAATAGTATCAATCAAGAGAATAAGGAGTGAGGTACCACAGTACAACCCAAGGCTTCCAGCTTTTCAGTTGGAACTTTGCTTGTGTGGAAACAGGTAATACCATGCAAAAATTAAACATTTTGTGCCCACTTGTCTTGCCTGTATTTCTGAGTTTTTTTATGAATAGAAAGTAATAAACTGTTTTTAACTAAATGACTTTTTTCCATTTGTTCTATCTTATTCCAAACTCATGACTGGTTCAATTTGAATATTTGCTTCTATAGTTTATGAATGACTAAAATTGATTTTATTCTCTTAACTTAAATGGTAAAAATTATATGTTTTTATAATTTAATTTTTATAAAATTTAATACTTATTAAATTTCATTGTATATCTATTTAGTCCAAACTTTGACCATCACTATGTAATTCTAATGCTATGCTTATTAGATATTTTACTTAACAATTATTCAAAACATAATGCAGATTATTCTGGATAATTTCATAAATATATTATTAGCAAAAAGTTTATTAGCTATAAACAATATGATATGCCAGTAGCTCAGATTGAATTTCACTTTATTTTCAGATCATTTGGTCTAAGATTAAAACAAATGCACCAGATATCTATCAAACTATACGAGCTATGACATTCCGTCAAGATGATTATTTCAGATTATTAGAAACCTACACTCAGTTAAAACCAAGAGGAGTTAATATTTTTGGAACTGCTTGTACATGGATTACACAAAATCAAGAAACTTGGCATGAATGGGTTCCTGAAACCTATTTACAAAAGCCAATTCTTTACATTGGTGGAATATTTCCTATGAATGGTACCTATTGGCAACAAAGTGGAGTAATACCAGGTTTGTATTTTTATTAGCATTTCTTTCAGTTATTATGCTGTGTTGTTGGAATGTTTCTTGCATGGCATATATATTGATGCTTAGTACCAAAGTATCAAGGGATAACTACAGAAAAATTTTGTTTATGTATTTGTGTTTAAGAATTTCCGATGTGATGGATTTAATATGACAGTTCTTTTTAGAATGATGTGTGCTGTTGTGAAACCCTAATGTTTTGAGACTTTTGTGTAATGAATATGGTAGTATGACTCATGTGCAAGAAAAGACTACTGGCACAATACATACCTCATCAGTTCTCCACAGATACTTTATCTTGTGGATGAGTTCTGAACATTTACATAATACATACACTGAAAACTTTGGTATGTTCTGGGTGTTTGGTACAGTTATGTCTATGTTGTATTTGATTTTGTTTTGTCTGTCTATTTTGATGAATTGTTTTTGTTTGGGTTTATGGCAGTCTTAGTATATTTTGCAAGTGTTGTTTTCTATGACCATCTGAAGCATGTATCTATAATATGGTTCCTGAGCATGTAGTAGTTTGTTTGTTTGTGTTTGTGTGCAAGCTTTTGATGTATTACATTTGCTATTTTGTTATGTTGATGTAAGTAGTTTGTGTTGAAAGCTTGCATGCACGATGTAACACTTCTTACAAATATTATCTGTATGTGTTGTGTCTTTAAAATGTGTTTCCTATAGTTTGTTGTATTTGTGACCTGGTCTTGTATGGCAATCATTCTTCCATTTCTCCAAAGAAGCATCCTTGAGTCAGCCAGTAGTTTGATGCAGTTCTGTCAACATGATCCCAAATAAGATCATTAGGGTGCCTACTGTAGAGCTCCTTCTGAGCCCAAGAATGTATGATTATGTCTATGTCTCTTTTATATTGTATCAGTTATAGGTCAGTGCTGTATAAGTTTAATGGTGTACTGTTTTTGTCTGCAAGAGTTATTGCTTTGTGTTATTGTGATGTTTATTGTTTTCTGTAGAAAAAACTCACAGTGTCTGTATTTGTTTATAGTAAAGGTTTAATATATCTGTAAGGCCTTGTCCTCCCTCTTTACTAGGAAGAGCCAGCCTTTATATGGATGACTTAGAGTGAAGGGTGATGTTTGTTATGTTTTGTTAATATTATTTGTGTGTCCAATGTATAACTCCAAAAGAATATGTCAGTACTGCAATGAAATGTGTGTTTTGCATTTGACTTTGTTGTTATTATTGAGATTAGTCTGATGTTATATTCTTTTATTAGTCTTTGTTTTATCTATGCATGTTCTTTGAGTGGTGGACAAAAATGAGGATTATTTACTGCACCCTGATTTAATAATAAAAATGCCATCTGGAAAGCATTCATCTATGGAATTCTAAATATCTGTAGACTTTGCCTTCATCCATGGATTCAATAACATCTTCATTTCTGAGAACAAAATCATCCTTCTTTAAGATTCCTTTCTTTTTATGTGAAGTGTTCTCATTTGTCTAGGTCAAACTCTATTTGAATGTCAGTGAAATCTGTATAATTATTATTATATAAATTGATTTTAATGAACTTATAATAAAAAAGTATATTTTAAAAAAAATAAGCGATAAAAAATTGTATTACAAATTCAAAAATATTAAGCTCTTTAATATTTTATAAAATTAAAAATCAATTTCCATAACATTTTTTAAAATTATTTTTTCCATTATCCTGTGCCCTAATCTTTTAAATAGTAATAATTGTTATTAATAGAGAACTATAATCATGAAAAAAATGTAATGTTTTTGAACTGTTCAATTCTTTAAAAAAAAAAAAAAAAAAAATTTGTGTGAAGGGACAAATGAAGATGGACTCAATTATATGTATAGTCCAAAAGGAAATATATTTTTCTATATGTGAATTCGTCCTGGCAAAAACTTTTTTTAATGTATTTATTAATTTAATAATTGTGCTAGCCACCGCTACAGGACTTTTTAACTCATTTACATTGGACAGTGAACATGTAGCCTCGAATAAAAGGTCGGTATCGCCGTAAATTTGTTATTGCCTCTGTAAAGCGTGTGAAGGGACAAATGAAGATGGACTCAATTATATGTATAGTCCAAAAGGAAATATATTTTTCTATATGTGAATTCGTCCTGGCAAAAACTTTTTTTAATGTATTTATTAATTTAATAATTGTGCTAGCCACCGCTACAGGACTTTTTAACTCATTTACATTGGACAGTGAACATGTAGCCTCGAATAAAAGGTCGGTATCGCCGTAAATTTGTTATTGCCTCTGCAAAGTGTGTGAAGGGACCAGTGCCGGCCTGAGGCAAGTTTTAGGATGGAGCGAGATCCTATTATGGTGCCCGGGGTTGGAACCCTGCTCATGCACGCAACCCACGCGTGTCTCAACAGATAAGGCCATTCACATACTGGCCACACGCTTGCAATTAAAATAACAAAAAGTGAAAAAAATATTTTTTTCCTTTAATTGTCTTTACCACTGAGGCGCCCTCTAGGACTTAGCGCCTGGAGCAGCTGCTCTGTTTGCCCTATGGTAGGGCCGGCTCTGGAAGGAACAAATGAAGATGGACTTAATTATATGTATAGTCCAAAAGGAAATATATTTTTCTATATGTGTTCAATTCTTATTCAATCCTTATTTTTAGATATACAACTTTTTTTATTACATTTGTCCTCAAAAAGTAAGTTCTGATCAAGAACTATTTCACTCAAACTTCCATTATTTGAGTATTGTGGTAGCATGATGTTTACTTATACTATACTTTCACATATTTGACATATATCCCAACACTGTGGGAGATAGTGTGTTGTACCTCATGCATAGAACTCCGGGTCCTGTTCATGAGATCATTTTTGGACTATATTAACTGCTTTGTTATCTGATAAAAACCTCTTCCCATAGCAGTGTTTCTTCAGAGATTTAAATACACAATATTTACTAAGTTAAATGGAGAAATCTGAGCTATATGGCAGGTAACCCAGTATTCCTGTCTAAATCATTCAACAATGGTATAGGCAATGTGTAGTATAGACTAGTGATTACCATCAATTTGGACATACGAAGAAAGCCATCTTCAGGAGGAGATTTTTATCAAATAAACAGTCATTTGAAAATGCTGAACCAATTTTTTACAACATTGTATGAAAGTAGTTCTGCAAACAGGACTCCAAGTTCTATGTATTTCTTATCACAGAATTTGGAAAACCCAATTCCCATTCCCAAGTAATGGAAGTTACAGTTTTGATGTAATCCTTGGCCAGAACTTACTTTATGAATACACTAAGTAAATTTCATTTTTGTATTTTTCCTGTTTTATCAGTAAATACTGTAATTGTAAATGTATAAAAGTACAGGCATTTATAATAATAAAATAAACTTTTATATTACAGCGGCACAAATTGCTATTGATGATGTTAATAAAAATCAAAATATTTTAAATCAATACAAACTTACTTTACTTGTTAATGATGGACAGTGTGCAGCAGATGAAGTTATGAAAAGTTTCATTGGTTATGTGACAAATTCCACTTACAAAGATATTATTGGAATTTTGGGTAATGTTATTGTTTAAAATATTCTTATGCATTTACAATGCTATTACAATATATCTAAAACAATTTATCTTATTTAGGACCAGCATGTTCAGATACAGTCGAACCAATAGCTGGAGTTGCTAAACATTATAACACTATTATTATAAGTTATAGTGCTGAAGGAGCATTAATCAATGACCAAGATAAATACCCTTACTTCTTTCGTACAATTCCTGAAAATAGTCAGTTCAGGTGAATTAAAGTAGTTAAATTTTAGCATTTAGCATACAATAGAGTTGGACCGAATATTTGGCATTATTTGGTATTTGGGTATATTTGGCCACAATGTACTCAATATTTGATATTAAACATATGTTTTTAATATTTGGGCTGAATCATTCCACAAAGTAGAACTATTTGACCAAATAATCTCATTTTAGTGTGAGGAGAGAGAGAGAGAAAATAATAATACAAATTAGAATTAAAATAATATTTAAGATCACAGATATTTAAAATTATTGTTATTTATTTCTTTCCAAAACAAATATACTCTTATTATTTATTAATAATCGCAATTCAAAAGTGATAAATTGTAATAAAGAAACATTAATGGTCCTGCATTAATAAGAAGTAAGGAATTTTATTGTCCATCATAAATACTTCCAGCAATTTGCTGAACATACTATATGTTCACTAAATACACTACTTGGGTTTGCCATAAAATGATGGACTTCAGTTGCAAAAATTATTATTGTTTGAAGAAAAGTAAAAAACACTAATTTTTTAAAAATAAAAACACATAATACTTATTATTGAACAGAAGATGCTTCCGTCACTTTATTCTAAGGATTAGAGTTTAAGTCATCTATTCTACAGTTAAGTTCCAAAGAAATCAGTTGATATTCAGCTGAATATTCAGTATTCATTAACAGTAATATTCAAATAATTGTTTGCATTTGGTCAAAAGTGTTTATTCGGTTCATCCCTATTTTATATATATCTTTATTCTTATATATTTGAAAATAGAGTATTTTCTATTTTCTTAGTATTTTTAAGTAGATTAAATTTAAAAAACTTATTTTTTTATTCTTTAGGCATGTTTATCTACAGTTATTTAAACAGCTAAATTGGAACCGTGTTGCTGCATTAACTGAGGATGGTCAAAAATACCCAGAATATATATCTCTAGTCCATAACTTATTGCAAGAAAATGGATTGAACTTCATAATAAATAGCAAATTTCCCCGGGATCGCGTTTCTCACAACATGACACAATATTTATTAGATTTGAAAGGAAAAAAGGCAAAAATTATTATTGGTGACTTTTATGATTATGCAGCAAGGTCTGTTATGTGTGAAGCATATAAACAGGTAATTGAAAATTATATCAGTTTATTTAAAGAGAGGTGCTAATTAAATTGTTATTCTTCCCATTTGTGACAATTCTCCTCATATAGCAATTTCCAATCCATATACTGTATATAGTATGTTATCTACATCCCTGAAATTAATATACTTTTGGGCAGAAGTGATAAGTATATTAATTTTAGGGATGCATATAATATTTTTTCAACAACTCCCAAGTTCTTTAAACATGTGCTAACATTTCCAATGCACATGCACATTTAGATACATAGTATAAGCTGCCAACGTGGTACTAATCATCTCTTTTGTAATATCCCAGTTGTTGTTTAATTCTTGCATCTGATGATCTAGACATTCAATCTATGTACTTTACATCCACCCTGAATTATTGATCTTCAATAGGTGTATGGTAAATTCATGATATCTTAATTATCTTTATAATTTCTTAACAATTTATAAAATGCTAATTTATGTTAATTAATGTCAATTTATAAATTATAAAATCAATAACAAACATTTATTGTTATTCTTTTGGCCATTTCTCAATATGTCTCTTAAAAATGCACAGTAACATATAACTCTTATGATATCAAAGTGTGGTCTATTTGTGTTGGAAATACTTTCCACTATACATATCTTTTAGCCATTTTATAAGTTTTATACAGCATTGCTGTATGAGGTGCATTGACACAAATGGGAAGAATAATAGTTTGATTAGTACTATTTCTTTATTTAATGAATGATATAATGTGTTTCTGATTTATATCATTTTCATTTGATTAGTACATAACTTACTATTTTAAATAATACTAAAAGTGATATTTCTGTCTTGATAGGGTATGATAGCACGAAATGGATATCAATGGTTTTTACCTTTGTGGTTTCAAAAAAACTGGTTTGATACTGATTTTTATAATAGTAACATGTCATACAGTCAGGAGAATGTGCAATGCACAACTAAACAAATGATGGAAGCTATTAATGGTCATATGAGTCTAGCTTATAAATTTTATGGTGATGACGATGTAATAATGCAAGAACAAAAAAGCATTGGAGCATGGAAAGAATATTATAAACAAATTGCAAAAACCACTGTAAGTTTTTAAGAAATTGCATAATTATGTGTGTATTTATATAATTATATACATATGAATTTATCATCTCAATTCTCTTTTCTCTAGAATAGGCCAACTAGTATGTATGGTGGATATGCTTATGATGCTGTTTGGGTTTATGCTTATGCATTAGATGCTTTGTTAAAAGAGAATCATACACATGTTGCAAATCTCCATTCTGATGAAACATCTAGGTAGAATTTTTTAAATTTTAAATTTAAATTTTAAATAAACTAACATTATAATTTCTACTAATTGTTACTTTTAGGCGGTTTGCAGAACTACTCAACAAGACTAATTTTACTGGAGTATCAGGCCATGTTTATTTTGAAGGTTCTAGTCGTATTTCAGAAATTCTGGTGTGGCAATGGCGTGATAACAAAACATATAAAATAGGATTGTATACACCAGAAGGAAGTGATTCTGGCAATCTAGAATTAAATGAATCTGCAATTGTATGGCTTACAGCAGATAAAAAAAAACCAAATGATGGTTCAGAAGGTAAAATGTTAATTATTTTGAAATTTAATGTAACACTAAGTACTAATTCTTATTATTCACTTTTATCCTATATTTTAGAATCCAGTAAATGTCATCTAGAATTGTTGCGAAAAGCACTTGGTGTTAGTTGTGAAATTGCTATTGTCATTGCAAATCTTTTTGGATTTTTCATTTTAGCAGTTCTGATGTTAATTATTTTTATTATATTTAAACATAAGTATGTATGTTTTGAATTTATTATTAAATAATGTGAAAGAATAAAATAAAAACCTATATTTTTTAATATTTAGATATGAACAAAAAATGAAATCTACAGAAGCCAGAATGAGAGAATTAGGTTTAATCAAAAACAGTAATTTATTGACTCTTGATGAATGGGAAATGCCTAGGGATCATATAGTAATTAATCGAAAACTGGGAGAGGGTGCTTTTGGAACAGTATATGGAGGAGAAGCATTTATAACTGATAAAGGATGGATTGCTGTAGCTGTAAAAACGTTAAAAATTGGGGCTACTGTAGAAGAAAAAGTATGTATACTTACTTTGTCTTAAGTATAAAGTATTAATACAAAAAAATTTAGAATTATTGATAAAAATTTTAAAATATTATACAAAAAATGAGATTAAAGAATTAATTAATTATCTTACTTCTGTGTAAAACCAATCTTCACTTTTTAATAAAAGTGGTATTTTGTATCAAATAATAGTTAAATTTATATTGATATGCATTTGATTACTGTTTCATATATGTGTATTATGAAATAATGTGATTATAATTATTCACAATATTTCTTATACATAATCTATATATTGTTTTGATTAATTAAATAAGTTATATGGTAAATTATACCCACAACAATTCTTTTATTAGAATGATTTTGTGTTTCTATTTTATAATTTAATACAAACACATTTTAACCTACTTTTGAAAATGTAAGTATAAATAAATTTTTTACTTTTTGTTTACAAAAATTGTCAGAAATCATTTATTAAAATTAATTTTCAATACATCTCGTAACAATATGTAATTTTAATGTTTCTGATAAATGAGTTTAAAGCCACTCAGCATTTTTCAGATATATTTAAACTTGTAAATCTTTCTTGTCTAACATATGAATATGTTAGACAAGAAAATAATAAGCTTGTCTAACATATTCATATGTTAGACAAGATTATTATTTATGCCATGTCAATTTTATATAGAAATTGATCTAGATATAATAAAATATAAATTTTGATGGGAATAATATTTTTATGTTGATAAGGAATAATAATACTTGTAGGTTTTCAAAATGGTAGAATTTGACTAGATACATTGATTGTAACTCAGAGAATTTTACATAAAATTTAGCTTTAATTTACTACTGGTATTTAATTTTGCTTGTATCAAAACTTATTAAAATTTATTACATTATGACACGATTATATATTTAAAAGTTATTAATTTAATGTGTAATTATTGAATATAATAAGACAGTGAAAACATCCATAATTATTAGTTTAAACTTAATACAGTAGATGTTTGTTAATCCAGCAACTGATAACTTGTATTGTCAGGAAATCTGGCACCCTTTCAAAAGTAGCCAATAATTGGCATGCTAGTATTCTGCAAATCAAAATTTGTTATGACACTTTATTGTCTAGATTCTTTAGCAAATCATATGATGATAACATTTTTGCAGATTTTTCAATCTTCACATAGAATAGTTTTCCAACAAGTACTATATAAAACATCTATTCAAAAACTATTCAACAAGAAAAATAAATATATGATCAAATAAACATATTTTAGACATACTTTTTTCTAGAAAGAAGAAATTAAAACCATTTTATTGGTACAGGATGTTTACTTTAAAACACAATTGTTAATAACTTAAACTGCATATTCTTTTTATTATAAATGACAACATAATATTAATATATAAACTTCAAAGTTTTTGGGGCAACACTGTTAATTGTTGTTGCTATGGTTACATGTTAAAAATGGATACTTCTAAACTAACAATACTGTGTCTATTTTCTGCTGGCTTTTATATGGTGTATTGAACTAAGATCAATTCTAAATATGCAATGAAAATTCAGAAATAAATATGAAATTTTATGAGTACCAGCTTGTATTACCAAATTACCTTTCTAACAGTTTAAGGTTGGTTGGTTGGTTGGAGTTTGTGGCTAGATAGTCTAACAGTTTAAATAAACAGGCAATATCTATAGTAAATATAAAGCTTCATGAATACCAAGTGCCAACTCAGAATCATGGCAGAAAATATTCAAGAAAGTGTTGTGAACAGATCAACAAAAAAGTTATTTTGAAGACTTTCAATGGAGCATGGAACATCTTTAAAAACAACTAAGCTTATTCTGCATAGACTTGCATATATTTCCTTACAAAATGAATATCATGTGGGTTTTGACAAAACAAATAAAACTGAAATGAATGAAGTTCACCAAGGAATTCAGTGATTTGTTAGAAAATCAGAAAAAAAATTGTGGAGATATCTAAAAGAACTGTCTTGCTCACTCTAAAAAAAAGTTGAAGAATCCATTATCCATTACCTGCAGTGTCAGACAAGTCAATAAGGAAATTCTCAATTGCATTTTGGACAACACTTGCATTAAAAACTACATTATGTCCAAAGTAAACAAGACAGTCATGTTGAGCATATGATTAAATAAACTTTGAAGTTTGTATACTATTAGGTTGTTCGGAAAGTTAATTTAATTTTTTTTTACCACTAGACAGATTAGTTGTATTTTTCTCACCATTTTCATTCTAAACTGTATTATCATTATATATATTGACAGCTAGCATTTTAAGGCTTACTTGTAAAAAATTTTGTTTGATTCTGTGCAATTGTTTATTTTTTGTGTCCCATCAAATACAGAAGATCTAAAGCATCATTTTTGGCATATTTTGCTTTTTTATTACCAAAAAATCAAAATGCTGTTCAAGCAAGAAAAAAATTGTGGTACATGTATGGAGATGATGTGTTGAGAGAAAGACAGTGCCAAAACTGGTTTACAAAATTTCGTTCTGGCAATTTCAGTATTGAAGATGCACCATGTTCTGGATGGCCAGTTGAAGCCAATGAAAACAAAATAAAGGTACTGATTGAAGCAAACTGCCGAATAACAACACGTGAAATCACTAAGAGATTAAATTTGTCAAATTGAACTGTTTATGATTACTTGAAACAAATTGGTTTCGTTTCAAAGCTTGATATATGGGTTCCACATGTTCTTAAAGAGAGATGCTCTCTTTGGTGGGATTTTAAGGAAATTTTTTTTTGGAGCTTTTACCAGACAATTTAACAATTGATTCGAAAGTGTACTGCCATCGAGTAAACAAATTGAGTAATATCATCAAACAGAAAAGGCGGCCAGAATTGATCAACAAAACAGGTGTAGTGTTTTACCACGATAATGTCAAATTTCACACAAGTTTGGTAACTAGTCAGAAACTGTTATAACTTAGATGGGATGTGCTATCACACCAATCATATTTGCCAGATCAAGCACACACGTATTATTACTTGTCCCAATCTATACAAATTTTTTTTAAATGTAAGACATTTACTTGAAATGACAATGTCAAAAATCACTTGGATCAGTTTTTTGTAAGCAATGATCAAAACTTGTATGAATGTGAAATCATGCTAATACCAGAAATGATGACAACAGGTATTTGACCAAAATGGTCGATATATAATTCAATAAAATATTTATTTATTATAAAAATGTGTTTTTTTCCACGGAAAAAAATGAAATTACTTTCCGAACAACCAAATATTATATAGTCATTTATAATAACTACATATTCTTTTCAAGTTTTTTGACTGATTCACTTCAACAAATACAGATTTGGCACTTTTAGAAAGTGCCAAATCTGTATTTGTTGAAGTGAGATTGACCAAACAAAAAACTTGAAAACTACAGGCCCTAATAGCATACTGTTTTTCTAATATTTCGATATATCTTTAAATGTAATTTATTAACAGTGCTTGCTGGAAAGTACTAAACTAAATCAATTTGAATCAGTTTTAGGATCCACCAGACAAAAAATGCTCATATTATATTCAATATACTAAATGATACTTTTTATGCCATTTGAAGACACATAATGCAGAGTTCAAAATAAAGCATAAAGGGTACTCATATGTTTAAAAAAGAGAGGAGTAGCAGCCACACTTAAAATGCTGCATTATGCTTTTTATATTTAATGGTTGCAATACTCATGATCAAAAATCTGTTACCAATAAAAAAAATATCTCAAGAATGGCCACTGCAGTGGATCCTTGTAAAGGGAACAACTACACTCCCCACAGGGTAAAGATTAAAGCCATTTTCTCATATGTATATCTTTCCACCACAAAATCAGCTGATTCATGCTGAACCATTTTGTTTTTGTGTAGCAGACTACCTGGCAGAACTGATTTTTCAAAGCCTTTTATTATTTATTGTTTACTTTAATTTGTAAGGATTTTAATTGTATGATTTAGACACTCAACCAGAAATTGTTGCTTCTTTGCTGCAAAGTTGATAGACCAATCAGTCTAGCAGCTTCTTCTATACTTAAAGTCTATGCTTCTATTCTATACTTATGTTAGGTTAGCTTCCTTAATGTGTGAATATGCATGCTCAGAACAACTGATTTGCTTTGTCTGACTTCTACTAGTCTTCTCTATATGATTAGTTTTAGAATAATAATGTGGAGAAGTACCTATCAAAGGCAGTAGCACGTTTGCACTTCAATTGCCACTTTCCAAAATACCTCTCACTTCTTGCACTGTGAATGGTAAGTATTGTTAACAACCATTGAATTTTATCAATGTACCACATAAACATTATTTTGTAAAAAATGACTGTATGATAAATTCTATGAAGAAAATGTAATGATAATTCACATCATCATTCAGTACTATATTTTTACTGTAACATATCCAAGGGCAAACCCAGTGAGGGACAGGGAGGAGCAGCTGCCCCCTTGAAGAAAAATTAAAGTGTAATTGACACATAGACACATAGCACAGACATATCAATTTAGTATTGGTTTGAATAGTGAATATTGTGACTAGACTAGAGCCTAGAGCCATCTGTCATAAAATCTTAGAACTATTTTGCTGTTCACTACTATTATTGCAATCAAAGAAACTAAATTGCCCCCCCTCTAGTTCAGATCCTGGGTACGCTGTAGAACATAACCTTTCTTGATAGGTACAGTACATACTGCCTTTGTTCTTTATAGCATACTTTTAAATTCCTCACAGGATAAAGCCAACAAAGCATTTCAATGACTTTTCAATCACTGACTGTTAGATCTGGAAAGTCATATCAATAGATGAATTCCCTTCGTGCCATGTACCCATTTCATCATCTGTACTTATTACATAATTATGAAACTTAAAATACATGTGATAACAACTACATAAATTCTACAAAATATCTATATATAAATATATAATCATCTTATTCTTCAAACAGTAATGGAACTTATTAAATTAAAACTAGCCTAACAAATACATCAACCCACAGAAATGTGGATAACACAAAAGATCACTCAATCATTCATGATAAGCAAACAACTAATGAAATTATAGACAATAGTAGTAAATATGTATATTCTGATTTAAAAAAAATAACTTTTTGTAATTTTATAAATGTGAATTTTCATAGACATCATTCATTGACAAATAAAATAGATACATGATTGATGTATGTAATTTTATCCCAAACACTCAACTTTACAACAGAAGAAATTGATTGGATGACCAGAGGCCTTCACTAACAATCTGTCATCTTTATCTCTTGCCACTTGCATTATTTTGCAAAAACTTTTGAATCCTAAGTTCAAGAATTGTTACAAAACACTTATACTGATTAAATCAATAAGTAATTAGAACTGTTTTACAATAACTATTTTATTGATTTTCAGTGATGTGGTCAGAGACAAGTACTAAAAAAATAATATGATTACAGAAAACAACAAACTTACTTCGCACTTATTTAATATTGTCAATGTTTTCTTTTAATATGAAACCGTGATTTGCAATTTGTTTCTGCTCCTAACACAATGAAGTTCTATAAATTAAGACACTTGGCGGGTTTCCACATCTTTATTTAGTTGATACGTGTGAAAAAATGACATGTTTTGGGCTCTTAAGCCCCTCTTCAGCCAACTAAAACATAAAAAAGGGATATAACACACACACATGAAAAATACACAAGTTTTGTAGAATTTTTTTTTTTTAAATTATTGTGATTTAAACATACCTATGCATACAAGTTTTATTAATTGAAGTGACAGCTTACTCTCGATATTTTTTCAGTGACATCAGCTTATTCTCAATATTTTTTCAACCAACTAAAATATTAGGAGAGTATACGACATATATATACAAAACTATACACAAGTTTTATAAAATTTATAAAATTATCTTGATTTAAAGCATACCTTGAGTACGACCGTTGTTAAAGTTGTACACAGTTGATTATACTTTCCACTTATAAACCAGTTTTGTAAAATCCTTGATTTAAAACATACTTTGGACTCAACAATTATCAAAATGGTATACAATTGATTATGCTTACCACTCATAAATCAGTTTTGCAAAACCCGCCTTACAAAATCTTTACTTCCTTTGATACGCATTGACAATATAATACAAATTTACATATCTGACGTCTATTATATTTTTTACAGTGTATATGATTGTTGATTTATTTAACATTTTAATATTTAATATTATAAATTATTATATGAACTAATAATAATACGATGTCTTGAAGTTGATAAACATGATTAGCATTTAATGTAAATTTACATATTATTTGACACCTACTACAATATTACAGTTTTTTGTTATTGTTGATTTATTTAACAGTTAAATATTTATTATTATAAATTAGCACATTGATCACAATAATAATACAATTTTTTGAATCTAGTGGATACAAGTGGATACAATGTGAAGATAAAAAATTTTATATAGGTGAAACTAAACGTAAAGTTAAAGTAAGATTGAAAGAACATATAGCTGATTTGAAATATCGTNATTATTTTTGTCTATATTACAATTATTTAAAAGGCAGTGTTCATGAAAAGCAGAATTTAGTCTACGATATTTCAAATCAGCTATATGTTCTTTCAATCTTACTTTAACTTTACGTTTAGTTTCACCTATATAAAATTTTTTATCTTCACATTGTATCCACTTGTATCCACTAGATTCAAAAAATTGTATTATTATTGTGATCAATGTGCTAATTTATAATAATAAATATTTAACTGTTAAATAAATCAACAATAACAAAAAACTGTAATATTGTAGTAGGTGTCAAATAATATGTAAATTTACATTAAATGCTAATCATGTTTATCAACTTCAAGACATCGTATTATTATTAGTTCATATAATAATTTATAATATTAAATATTAAAATGTTAAATAAATCAACAATCATATACACTGTAAAAAATATAATAGACGTCAGATATGTAAATTTGTATTATATTGTCAATGCGTATCAAAGGAAGTAAAGATTTTGTAAGGCGGGTTTTGCAAAACTGATTTATGAGTGGTAAGCATAATCAATTGTATACCATTTTGATAATTGTTGAGTCCAAAGTATGTTTTAAATCAAGGATTTTACAAAACTGGTTTATAAGTGGAAAGTATAATCAACTGTGTACAACTTTAACAACGGTCGTACTCAAGGTATGCTTTAAATCAAGATAATTTTATAAATTTTATAAAACTTGTGTATAGTTTTGTATATATATGTCGTATACTCTCCTAATATTTTAGTTGGTTGAAAAAATATTGAGAATAAGCTGATGTCACTGAAAAAATATCGAGAGTAAGCTGTCACTTCAATTAATAAAACTTGTATGCATAGGTATGTTTAAATCACAATAATTTAAAAAAAAAAATTCTACAAAACTTGTGTATTTTTCATGTGTGTGTGTTATATCCCTTTTTTATGTTTTAGTTGGCTGAAGAGGGGCTTAAGAGCCCAAAACATGTCATTTTTTCACACGTATCAACTAAATAAAGATGAGGAAACCCGCCAAGTGTCTTAATTTATAGAACTTCATTGTGTTAGGAGCAGAAAGAGATGTCAATGATTTTAGATATTTGTGTAAAGTCATATAGTCAGAAACTGTTTAAATATACAGTATACATATACTGACAGTCTACAAATGTGACAAAGCTACATAGCTACTTACAGCTACATTTTAATTCTGCACAGCACTTGGCACTGATACTTAGTTTATATTTTGTTAAAATTATCACCAAAACAATAAATTCTATACCTTATTCATTTTTTTTATTTATAAAAATATTTTTTTTTTGTTTAGAAGTTACTAACTACAAGTATTTTCAATATAGCTTGATTTTTTGAGTGAAGCTGAAATGATGAAGAAGTTTGATCATAAGAATATTGTACAGTTGATTGGAGTTTGCACAAGTGGAGAACCTGTTTATACTGTGATGGAATTTATGCTATATGGTATGATACATTTTATATGATTAACAAAGTTTGCATCATACATGATTTTATCATGTCATCATGCAGTTTTACATAACTAATTTTCCTTTATGTAGGAGACCTAAAAACCTATTTACTTGGCCGTCGACATCTTGTAAATGATAGAGAGAGAGAGAAATCTGAAGAAGTATCTGACCAGAGACTGACAAATATAGCATTAGATATTGCAAGAGGATTAAGCTATTTGGCTGAACTGAAGTATGTCCATCGAGATTTGGCTTGCAGAAACTGTTTAGTAAATGCTTGTAGAACAGTCAAAATAGCAGATTTTGGAATGTGTAGACCAATGTTTGATTCAGATTATTACAGATTTAATAAACGAGGTATCATTTACAAAAATTTTTTCATGTAAAAATTTCATGCACGTTTTACAATTTTTGACATATTTAGGAATGTTACCTGTACGGTGGATGGCACCAGAAAGTCTGATAGATGGAATATTTACACCAACATCTGATATTTGGAGTTATGGTGTTTTGTTATATGAAATAATTACATTTGGAAGTTTTCCTTATCAAGGACTTTCAAATAATCAAGTATTAGAATATGTCAAGGGTTTTAATACCCTTCCTGTTCCAAATGGTTGTAAACCTGAATTGTAAGTTTATTGATTACAATTTATTATTATTATTATTATTATTATTATTATAAATATACAGGATGTTTCATGTAAGGTGTTAAAAGTTAATTACTCATATTATTTATGCTTCTAATAAAAATAAAAGTTTAATGTTGTAAGGATAAACCCTCACTCATCCTCCCTTTCTGGATGGAGGAGAAAAGGCAACTTTGAAATTTCAAATGGAACCACTCTGATTTTTTTTTGTTTCTCAATTACTAAAATGATAAAAATAGACATCTCTTTTAAACAGTTTTTAAGTAACTGAAACAATAGGAAATAAAAATTAATTAACAGTCTAATAAAAATACAATTTTTCATGAGCTATCTTTTAAACTGTATAAATACATACACTAATAACTTTTTAAATTATAATTTTTCTGGGAAAAAGTTCTCAATAAAAAATTATTCTTTAATAGAAAATCCAAAACTATAAAAAAAAATTGGGATTGTTTCATTTGAAATTTTGAATTGTCACCTGCCCCACCCAGAAGAGTGGATGAGTGAGGCTTTATTTTTATGGCATCAAAAAAGGTAACTGAAAATATTAATATTAAATAAACTTCTACTCTCATTAATTTTTTTATTAGGCGCATATTTCAAATAAGCTATTGCACATTAATAACTCAGAAAATATCTCATGTAGAGATGTATGAAATGCTTTGATATCAATAGCAAGGTTGAGGCCGAAGTTTTAAATGCGAAAACACGTATGTCAGACGTTTAGTGCTGCTTTCCTGTAAGCCTAGAAGTTTGACAATGGTGTTTGGATAGTCAGTGGAATCATGCTCGACATTCCAAACACCATTGTCAAACTTCTAGGCTTACAGGAAAGTGGCGCTGAACATCTGACATACACGTTTTTATGTTTAAAACTTCGGCCTCAACCTCACTAATAAATCCAATAAAACTTACTTATAATTTTTTTGAGCTAATACACCATAATATAAGAAAAACATTTTTTCTATTTAATATAATATAATTGTGCTAATAAGATTTTCTAATTAATTAAATGCATACTTTTATATCAAATAAGTATTTTTAATTTGATATTTAAATTATTTGATTTTTTATAACTTTTTTTTGAAATCTTTAAAAATAAAAATATAATATATCTTAATAAAGACTGAAAAGTATTAAAATATACAAACTGAAAGCAGTAGCTATATCCATAAATCTAAAATATTAAAGATGATGCCTTCAATTAAGAATACCATAAGCTTTAATCCTTATGTAATCTCTATTCAAAGCAATATCTCTGCTATTTCTTAATACTCTGAAAGTAACAATGATTAAAATAAAAAGAATAAAAAGAAAAAAATATTAAGTAATGATTGTTTTGATAACTGGAACTTTGTGTGAGAGAGTCTGTAATAAGGCATATGTAAAGTTATCTTAGAAGTCATCAAATATATTATTATTTTACATTTCTTGACTAGTTTGTGAACATGAGCATCTTGAGAATTATTAACAAAAATAACTCAAAATGAAAACAACCTACCTTGGATTTGTTTGCAATGTTCTTTGTGGATCCTAAAAAGTTTTTATTATTAATCAGTTTTTGTAAAATTACATCAGAGCTAAATTGAACAGCTATATTTTTTAAAGCTTGTTAACATCATATTGCTCTTTTCCAAGGAAATAATCTTATTAAATTTGTAAATGATGCCATAATGAAAAGAATTCTTAGAATAAACATGAATTAAAAAACTATTATATAGGCTTGCAATAAAAGAAAAATAATATGGTAAAGATAGGAAGGGAGAAAGTTTAAGTCAAGAATCACTAATTTGATTTTCTGAAGTAGCTAGGACTACACAAATCAAAATAAAAACAATGGAGTAATATTTTCTAGCAGTTTTGAGATGCTTTATGCATCATTGCTCAAAAATTACTAGGTAATATTGTAACATTACTCCATTAAAGCATTTTTATTTTAATTTCTTGATGATATAACCTAAAAATATTTTAATCCTTTACAGAATGAGAAATCATCCACATATAAATAAATTTCAATAAAATGTATTTATTGATTTGGATCTCTTTGATATTTAGATAACCAGAAACTTCACAAATTTCAACATTATCAAATTCACTAGCTCTGCTGAGAAGCTAAAATAATTTTTACTTTCTATATAAAATTTATTATTAAGTAAATAGAATAGACTACAGTATGAAGAAACTATGTTATCTTCAATATCCAAATTAATTTCTAACACAAGTAAAATAAATTAATGACATCCATATCACTTTTTATTTTCAGACTTCACTTTGAAAATATCAAATTGTATATTATTATTACTACCTTGTAAAAAGACAATGTCATAAGTCTATATAAATCAATTTTTTTATATGCAATAGCAGCAACAATAGTAATAATAAACTAAAAAACATTAGAAATTATCATCCATTTTGAATAAAAAAATTGTTTAAGATACTTATTATTAATTTCTTCTACAGCTAAAATATAATTATTTCTTGCAGAGCATCATTGTTATTGCAATGCTGGTCCAGGAGAGCTCAGGATCGACCAAGTGCTAGTGAAATTGTTGAAATTCTTGCTCATCATTCAAATCTAATATCACCTTGTCTTGATATGCCCATGGCAAGTGTTGAAGTAGAAGATACAGATTCTATTGAAATTGCCATCAATGAAAGAACAAGGTTACATTCAGTTAGTGAAAACTGGCCTCAAAAAAGGCAAAATGGTTCAGTGGACCAAACCATTAAAATGTACAAAGAAACACATGAACTTGAAGATTTAGAAAGGAAGTTTGAAAATTCTCCAGCATTAGATAGTCCTTGTGTTTTAGGTCATAAAGGACAATATTTAACATTACAAAATGGTCCTCGTGGTGATAGTGACTATGGCAGTGATGTATCGCAAGACTTCCCCCAAACTATTTCATTTGTATGAAATATTCCACTTTCAAAAATTCACTTTTATAGAAAAACATCTTGCTAAAAAAATGTGATTTAATACAGATAATCATACAATTTGGACCATCCACATTAGAATAGTTTTGTGTATATAAGCACACATGGTTCTTACTACTGTATATATATTGCAATGGTGCATTACAATATATTAAAATATCATTGTTAATGGTATATTATCATTACCAATGGTATATTACTAATGGTACATTTAATATGTTGTTCAGTTTTAATGTCCTTACATTTACAAAATGTATTAATTTTGCAATACAGGGTGTCTCAAAAGTCAGTTTACTGATGAAAATGTTTTGACTAATCTTCAAGAGAAAGTTTAATTAAATTGCCTCAATGTCCTTTTTTCCTTATTAATATGTAAATTTTCGACTATAAATTCGACTATCTTCTATTATCAGTATAATAAGTCCTGATAATAGAAGACAGTCGAATTTATAGTCGAAAATTTACATACTTCAAGAGAAAGTGTTTTTTACTTCTGATCATATGCATTTTTGAATTAAAATCAATTAATTGTTTTAAGTAGATTAGATAAGCAAGTTATAAAATAAAAAGCAATAAAATAAAAAAATAAACAAAACATTTTGGAGCAAATTGTTTGTATTTTTATTTTATTAATTTATTTATGCAATTCATTTTTTTTCCAAATATTATAAATAACTAAATTTATATATATATAATGATATCACACAAATCTTATCTGATGAATACAAGATGTGTGTCAAATGATGAATATTCTCATATGATTTTGAAATAAGCTTTCTTTTCTATACATCAAATCAAACCAGATGATCATTTATTAGTTTTTCTGAGTAAACTGACTTTTACAACCATCCTGCATTTCAGATATGTAAATTCAAATTGTATTAGTTTTCATTGCAGAAAAAAAATTGAATTGTTTGAAATTTGAAAGTTATTTTATACAAAATTATTAGATTTTATTTACTACTTAACTGCATATATTTTCATTCTAGCTTTTAAAATAATAAGCAATTGAAACTATTAACAATTTAATTCCAAATTAAATTCATAAATTTTTATTTCTTGACCTTAATGTAAATAATTTACTTATATGATTAAGAATCCTTAAATAAACTAAAATGTATCAAAATAGATTACAGATTTCAATGTGATTCAATAACTTATAAAAATTTAAATTTTGAAACAAAATGTCTGAAGCAAACACTGGGCTGGTTTCCCAAATACAGGCAATTTGATCTTTTTCATCAAAAATCTGCTTTTTTTTTTTTGTATGTTGTTCAGTCATTTTGATTTAATTTATTATATATATATATATATATAACTGAAATTACTGCATAAAGTTGCAATTTGCCCAATAATTGTTTTAGTTCAAAACCAACATTTGTATAATTATAAATTAATAAATCAAAATGCTTTATTTTACAATTTCTTAATATGTTTATGTTGATTTAAAAAACTATTCATATTTATGCAGTTAAGTAGCTAATAATAATATCTGATACAAATTGATGGTGCTCTGGAATCTAGTACAAATGTTGAAGTGTGCCATAGATATTTTAAGCCTTGAAATATTTTATTGCTTAAGATGAATTGAGACAATATTCATAATAGGGAACCATTTATAGATATATTCATTTCATCATTTCAGTCAATCATTATATCCAAATTGTAACATAAATCATTAGTAATGTATCTGTTGTACAGATTTATTATATGTATTTTAAAGATGTTAATCAAAATGGATATTAATGTGCATCCATCCCATTGGATATGATGTCTCAAAACTCAGTAATTGTAAAGTCCTATCTCGAAGATATGCTTTGCTACTTATTGTAGCATGTTTGTGATATAAATTTTGTTGTGCAATACAGAGGATTGTTGAATATATGACAACTTTCATGTAAGTATGAAATGTGGTGCAAATACATCAGAGTGAAACCACTTTTTCTAGTCATTTATGTTAAAATGATGTTGTACTTGTTTTTATAATTAAAATTACAAATGATTCCTTCTTAATATGTATTCTGTTTAAAAACAGAATGTCCTGCATTAGATTAACAAAATATTTAAAATAAATTTTACAGTCAGATGTATATTTAAATGTAAATAAGAGTGTAAAATATTGCCTATTGGCAACTATTCTGTTGGCAACTGACTTGTATAAAGAATAAAGTTAAATAATTATATTGGTGTTTCCATGGAAGTTATATTATTATTTTAAAATACGTTAACTTTACATAATAAATACTCTACATCCTGTACACAACACTATTTCTAATTAAAATCCTAAGTTCCTATATGAAATTAGTTATAACTATTTTTTTTATAGATCAAAAATATTCTTCTATTCAGAAACTACTTTTTTTTGAAAATGATCTATAATAAAATAGTTTCCTTAGTTATCCTTTAAATGATAATAAGTTTTATGATAAAAACATGCGGGACAATTCATTATTGCAGTAGATGAGCATTTGAGTCTTTCTTACTTAATAATTTATTGCTGCTCCAATCAATTCTTGATACTTCTTGCTGTCTAATCTTCCAGAATGCTATTAGTGATTTATTTGCAATTATGATATCATAATGTAATTAATATAATTCTGTTTTCTTCTACTCCTTCCAACATTAAATTTCTTACTTCTTTTCATCCTTATTTATTCAATTTTACATACACATTCTTTTTGTAAGCCATTTAAATTAAACTTGAATGGCTTGAAACTTTAATGTTGATATTCACAATCAATGATCAAGAATTAGACTTAGATGTTAACCAATTATCATTTACTTTACTTTCAGTAGATGAACACTTAGTTAATTTCTAACTAACTCTTAAACCTTAGTTGTGAATACAACCATTATTCCAAATTAACAAAATTTGAATGACTGACTATAGCATATTAAGCAATTTTGAACTTTTTAATTGAATTCAAATTCAACATAGAAACATGTAATACTAAAGTCAAGTTTAATGTGAATGACATACTCCCTAATTTCCATTATATTAAAAGATTTTCTATTTCAATTTTAAAAGCTCTAATTCCTCATCAAGTTAATATTATATAATAATGTTATAATAAGATTAAAATAACTTGAAGTAAAATATTAAAAACTGTTCACTTACATTTCTTTTTTGTAACTTTTGAGTCTTTCTGTACACTAAGGTGGCCTTTTACCATGCACATCATAATTTTGACAAAGCCAGAATGGAGGCAGCCTGATGGTGAGGGATAGGGACCAGACATATCAGGTCAAAAAATAATGTTTTAAATTATTATTTTGGTAACTGTGTGCTCATATTTTGAGACTAGGTGATGAAAATTTGTATATTCACAAACAATATTTAAATTTTATGTACTGTATTATTTATGAACACACATTTTTTTCCAGTATTTGTGTTATATTAATTATCTTACATATACAGTACATATATTCTTTATATGCTTAAATTATATCAATATTTTATTTTATAAATATTTCCAAATAAAAGTAAATACATTTATCCAATAAAATAATGTGCACATTATAATTTATTAGTATTTAACAATCAACTTCTTAGTTATTTGAATGTAAAGTCACTATCATTTGTTTACTAAAATTAGTTAAATTTCTAAAAAAGTGTTTCAGCTAAAAAATATTTATCATTTGTTTACTGAAATTATTAATTTCTATGATTCTATATATTAAATAGGTAGAAATTGAAATATGGAACAAATTTTTTGAAACAAGGTATTATTAAAAATTAAAAAAAAAAAATAATAAGAAATTAAACAAAAATTTAAATTTAATGATATTGCCAAGTTTCTTATTTACTTTCAGTGATTAAAATGTTGAAGCTGTTAGAAAACATTTAGACTTTGAAATAACTTTTGACTGTTAAATCCTGATGTATTCAAGTGTACAGGTATATCTCGACTTACGTCATTTCGAGTTACGTCGTTCCCGATTATACATCATTTGTCAAAAAAGTATATGGAAAAATAAAAATCAAGTTTAAGTCATTTTATTTGACTTTACATCTGTCCACCACAAATAATGAAGTCGTAATATCACTAGAAAGCGTTTAAATCACATTAAAAAATATTAAAATATATACATTTTAAATATTTCGTAAATTTAGATTACTTTTTTCTGTACTATATTAAAAACTAAAATTTATTTGTTTGTAAGCTTAAAATAGATCCTTATTAACCATATATTATTAAAAATGCATTAATAAATAAAATACAGAACCGGGAATGGTTAATTTATGGTTTAGCCTAGTGACAAGTAGATTCGGAGACAAGTAAATTCGACTTACGTCGTT